TTAGCCTAAGAATCACACCAAAAATGAACACCAAAGTACACAGTTTACAAACCGGAACTAACACTGAAGACAAACGGAAGTGATGTCAGCTTTGTACTGTATAAGGTAATGTAATTCCTTTTATCTTCTTTTTATAAGTACTGATTGTCAACCATTGTATGCATTTCTCTTCACAATTCCTTAGCAGTTTATTCTGTTCCCTTTCTTTTTAATGATTAAATCTATATGACTATTCGTGGAGTCAATAATTTTATCAATCGATTCAGCTTACCAGCTTAAAAAGGTTAAGTTATTACGCAGCTTTGGAATTCGTCATAGCTTTCACGAGTAATATTTTGACTCAAAGCTTGTTGGCTCAGGTCGCATCTTACTGAGTTAAACAAACTCTCCATAGGATTTAAATCTGGGCTTCTGGGAGGGATGGATAACGATTCGGCTTTAAGTTTTGTTAAAGCCTTCTTGGCCCCTGTGGCGTTCTGGTTCAGATCACCATCTCGAAGCCAAAGGTGGAAGGGCCCTTTGTTGGCTTTCCTAAAGAAACTAGGTGTTCATAAGGATGGCAAGCTATAACCACTTTGTTGAAGCTAATAGCCAGAAAAAGCTCAAGAACTCTTCCTCCACTTCCCTCTTTCTTCCCCTTGACCGTGCACCCCTCAGCCAGACCCTCCTTTTTTGTCCTCCACATTTGGCCTTGCAGGGCTATTGCCTGGCCTGCAGGGTTTCTTTTGTAATAGAAACTCACTCCGTCTAAGTAAGAGTTAACTTCGGATGTCCACACATCTCTCAGTCTTTCTTTGTGAATCTTTTTAGCAAAGCGATATCCACATACAATATCGTTTGAGGAAAAAATCCTCTTTTTACGTGCCTGTCTGTATCCAAATCCATACTTGTTCAAAACTGATGCACCATTCTATTGCTTACTTGACCTCTATGCAATCTGCATGCCTCTGCCAGTTTACCTGAAGTCAAGTTTGGGTTTTCACGACGAGGGATTTTGACTTTGTCTTTCCATTCTGGTATCGATCTTACGAGGTTGTCCAGGGCTCGCTCTCATCTTTTTCCTCTTTAAGCTTTCAAATCCGTCCTTCTTGATCTTATAGATGGTGGCTAATGAGACTCCAAGATTTTCTGATAATTCCCGAGGCTTGTGCTGCTTATCTTTCACTGCATAAAGTATGTATGCTTTTAAACTTCCGTCAAACCCCCCCCCCAATGACGTAACAATAACTTTCCCTATTATTTACCATAATTAGCGGTAATTGGTTGTGCTGAGCTATGACATCAGATCATTGGGACAAATACAATAACTTAATGCAGGCATAGTTTTCCCTCCTACAGTCTTTTTTTATTATCCAGCAAAATGTATTAAATACAATCTTGGACAAAAAGTGTTACACTTTGTTACTCACAATAGACCCACACAGTGAATTAAGCTTCATGGTGGCCCCTCCCCCCACCCCTCCCTTGTCAGTGTTGTTAACTCAGGAGCAAAAATTTCCGATCACCCTTCAACATTGTTTTTTTTGGGGGGGGAGGGGAAGTATCTTGAGTGAACCAGGCTTTAGAGGGAAGTATTCTACAATTAAATATACAAGTGCATTTTTCTTAACATTTTTGTCCAAGATTGCAGGTAGGAACGGTGATAAAAATAAATCTAGCTGCATCTGACACAACTCTAACAAAGGAGCAATAAAGAGTAAGTTACTCAGAAGGTGCCAAAGGTATGGGATGCTTATTAGCTTAGTATGGGCAATCCATTCCACTACATTAGTGAAAACTTCAAAGGTTAAACACGACAAAGAACAGCTTATAGGCATACACCTATATCATAATAATAAGAAACCTGCCATTGCATCCCCAACAAGGCATAGTCCTCTGAAAAAATTAGTATAATCCAACAAGCATTTTTTGTAAGTTTTACCATAAAATAACCTTGCCTACCCTTGTAAAACAAAACTTGAAAAACCTGGGAATTTCTAGACTTTTTCTAGAAATATCCCAGAAAATAATTCTAGAAATTTCTAGAACTTTACAGTTTTCTATTCTGGAAAATTCTAGAAAATTCTGGAATGTTAACGAAACATGATTAAAAATTAGAGCAGACTTACCGGTAACTGAATATTCAATTTCCACCTTTTTTCCAGCTAATTCCAGCTTTTCTGGCATTATTTAAGCTTTTGCAAATTACTTATTAAAAAAATTCCAGTTGCATTTTCTAGCTTCTTTTTATATGATCCCCTGTCCCCATCAAATATATTAATTTCCATCACAAGTAAAATCTTAAATGAACCTCATGTGCTAGGAACATGTCACATTTTTTAATAACGAATTGACAAAATATGCTTTATTCTTGTTAAAAATTGTAAAACTGTAACAATGACTTGAAAATGAAGTATTCTTCAAGATACAGTATGACTTTGAAAACAAGTAGAATATAGAAAAAATCTGCACATAGAATATCTAATGTACAAAACATTTATTGAAACAAATGCTTAAAAGATTTAGATCAGTTTAATAAGTTTTCTCTTATCTGCATGTCCCTGATGACTCCTTGCTTGGTATTAAACTTTGATCATGTTTTTTGTGTGATGACTCTCATCTTGGCCTCAGGTTTGATTGCACTTAATAAACTAGCTCTGGCCTTCTTTAATACCAAACTTAAGTCTTTTCTCACGGATGACCGAGTTGACCCAGGAAATGCTTTTCTTAACACAATACCTGTTAAAGGAAAAGAGCCAAAGAAACAAAAAAAATTTTGTTGACCCATGAGCTGTTATTAACTGTTGTTACTACCATCTGAATAATTATGTATCCTTTATCATGTATGCTTCAGGGTGCAAAGAAAATCATTTTTAAAGCTTGCCATTCGGGTAAGCTGAAGCTAGCATTTACTCATAAGCCCAGATGTCATTTCAACTAGCCCCAAAAACTTTTTAACTAGCAGAATTGATTTCATAGTTCTTCTGTTATTCGAATTCCTCAAAAAACATCACTTGCCTGTCGGGCAAGTTGAAAACAGAATTCACTGTAGCCCGATAGCAAAATCCACTAGCCCCAGGCTATCGGACACTACTTTCTTTGCACGCTGATGCTTGTACTTTAATAATATTAGTAGCAGACAGTACAGGGGTCAAGCTATGTTAAAACAGTTTGGCTATTACACTAATTGGAACTGTGGAATTTGAACCTCATTTCTTAATTGTTTCCTGTGACATTTAGATTCCCAAGTCTAAGTGTTCTGTTCTCCTGATTTTTAAAGCAATTACATATCCTGTCAGTTAAAACAGTCAACATGGCATGGGCATATTTACGTCAAATAATGAAGCTATGTTTCCTTTAGGAATTGGTAACTGACCACATTGTAAAGGTTGTAGGAAAGCAATTAGTACAGTGGAAGCTCTTGTGAGTAGACACCCTTGGGACTCAAACAAGGTGTCTGTAACTAGAGCTGGCCGCTTATGGGAATCTAACAATACAGAGTTTGTATGGGATTTTAAAAAACTGGGTTAATATAAAAGTACTCTCATAGTGACAACTTATGGCAAGCGTTACCATCCTCATAAGTGTCAGCACTTTGAAAGTAACCGGTTTTGTTTCTCCGTCAAATACTGGTTTAAACCTCTCTCATAAGTGACCACTACTTAAATTTATTTCACGACCAAACCACCATTTTAAGTAGAAATTCAAAAATTTGATTTTCCGCAGACAACCCTTTAAAGCGACCACTTTGTCGTGCACAAAGGGTGGTGGCTTTAACTAAGGCGTTAACTGTACATGTTTTCATACATGCATGAAATAAAAATAATAATTTTTGTTTGCTGCTTACTTTCTAATAAGTTCCTCCTAGATGGGCTGAGACCTGGGCGTGCCTCGTAATCTTTATTACACTGAAATCCAGTGACTGATGATTTTTGAAGCTCTTCCTGAGTGAACAGCTTCTTTGCAAGAACTTCGGCTGCCGTCTTGGCATCTGAAATGTCATCTATTGACTTTACTAATGCCTCCTAAAAAGCAATATACATATTATAGAAAATTAGTGCTTCCCGTTGAATTTTTTTGGAAATATGTAGTTTTATAAGCTCTGTAAATGAATGTCAAAGTTGTGATCTTCAGCATGTATTTGCTATGTTTTTGCATGTTAACAAGAAAGTCATTAACTTACCTTAGTAAGACCATTAAATCTTTCTGTATCTTGGGCATCCTCATTTTCTGAAGTTGGTTTTCCCTGTTGACATAATGTCAGTTATGGTTAGGGGCAAGGTAGCTTTAATAAGTAAGCAAAATAATATCAACTTTATTTTTTCCCGTAAAATGATGTCTGACGAACAACTGCAGATTTTCCATGCTGATGATTCATCACCACAAGTATGTGCCTTATATGCTTGAAGTTGGTGACATGTCACAAGGAAAATTTGCTTCAACCAATCAGATTTAAGCCACTGGCCCGGTTCCTCGAAAGATGGTAGTTTAACTCAGGATTAAGCTGTATTTGAATCAAGGTTTTCTTGTCCAAAAAGATGCAACTCGAGCTTACAAAATATTGTCAAGCCTTTACTCCGAGATACTGTAATGATAACACAAAATGTTACTTTGAGCAATGCATAGGAAGGTAAAGTACAAAAATGGAACAAAATTTTAATCCTTGATTAGCACTAATTGGCCTTTCTGGAACCAGGCTAGATCTTCATCATAAGTACAGGAGGAGTATAGAACTTCTGCACTTGTTTCTCGGATGTCGTTTTGTGGCAATGTTCCAGCAATAGAACTCCCCCCTAACATATCTGTGGCTCAGTTGATTTAATGCAGTCAGTTTCATTAATTACAGTAAACTCAGCTCAGTTATCCAGTACATTTTACCAAATATTTACTATAACTTGAAGTGGAATTTTGAATTCAATACTGCACTAAAATAAATTGTTCCTGAGCAATGAAAATCATTCCTATATTAAGTGAGGGAATCTCACTGAATATTTTTACTGTTAGTTGCTAGTCAAAGATTAATTCAAAGCGGTGTCTCCATGTCTGATGTAGGCATAAGCGTTAATGTCATCACGTGTGAAACATCATCACATACATGTACGCATACAAGGGATAGCAAAATGACTCCAAACAAGGTAAGATTTAATATCACTATGTTGTATGAACAGCATTTTATATTTTACAATGCTAAAACCAGCCTTGATTAACTATGTTATGTATTCATTACTCAGTTTTGACTGCTACTATGAATATTATTTATTATTCATACCTTTTTCTGCTTCCTTTTTAGTTTCTCAACCTCAGCTTCCAGATTGCTAAGACGGCTGCTGAGTGACTGCAGCAAAGGTTGACAATTATGGCAAGGACCATTGACTTCTGGGAATGAGGACATCTCCTGCTGCCAGCCATCATGTGTAGATACACGACTTGAGGCCGTTGGCATCAAACTGGGGACACGAGATGGATAAGCCATTGGTCCGTCCAAATCTAAAATATCATCATAGTCAGAACAATGGCTTAGACTTTCAGAAATAGAAAACTCCTGCTGCATACTACAGGCTGTAGGTGAAGACAGTAGTTTTGGTGATGTTATGAGCTGTCGAGAACTGGGCAAGGAGAAATGGCTAGGTGAATGAGCTGACCCCACTGATGGTGAGGAGAACTGAAACCTTGAGGCAGTGGTGACAGGTGAAGCTGATTGGTAAGAAGAGGATAACTGAAATCCAGTGCTAAGGTTTGACAACTGCTGTGGAGGAGGGCAGGTGACTTGACCATTGGATTGTTTCTCAGTTGAAAGTTGGTTTAGTAATGATGGAGCTAAGTTAGGTCCAGTTGGCTGATCATGGGGTTTTCTGGAATGCTTGCTGGTGCTATCTGATTCCTTCAATTCCTTAATCTCAATTACTTCAGATGTTCTGGCCTGCTCTCTTCGCTGTAGTAGATTCTGCACTCTTTCAGTGTTGCAGCTGAAATGAGCTGAGCATCCCGGGTGTCTTTAGCTTTAGTGTTGGCTGCCTTCTTCTTAATCGAACTCTTACTCTTCGGAGTCAACTCTGGTTCCTTTTCGACTTGGCTTAGCTGTCCACCTTTTCTGGCTTTTTTTCTTTTTGGTTCCTCATTTTCTGACTCAGCTTCCAGCTTTTTCTTTGAAGGTTTTGGCTCTCGGCGTGGACGAGTGGCATCCGTGACAAGCTCCTTTTCTGAATCTTTAACTGGAGGACTCACTAGGGCATTTAGAATGTTTTCGGCATCCTTTTTTTACCTAAAAACCAATTTACCATACAGCTGAATTAATCAAAAAGTCATAGTCCCCTCTACTTGTGTTTGTGGTAGAGCTGCAGAAAGTGCGCACCAAATGCATTTTCTCCGATTTTTGAGAGAAGACTGGGGCGAGTTTCAAATGGCATGTACGTGAAAGGGATAGAAAGTATTAAAAAATCCGTTTTTACATAATTTAAATCGCGATATCACAGTTAGGACACAATGTGATAAAGAGAGTGTTTAAATGATAATCAAAGTGAGCAAGCACAAGTTTAACATTCACTATCGAGGTTCTCTGTGAGAAAGTTGAACTCAGCAACACGCGCACTGCTTACGTTATGCACATTCCCAACACAATGAGTCTTACCTCGGCAACAAACATCCGCAAGCAAAAATTCCAATAGCGTTTCTCTTCAGTCAACTTTGTTAAAATAATTTTTCTTCAGATGCTCTTGTTTACGGTGGCCATCTTGTAATGCACAGTGAGAGATGCGCAGTGGAAAACCAGCGAATCACCTTAACGTTTGCGCGCTCATTTCAAATATAAAAACGGCTAGGTATGTTTAGATCACTGGGGGTTTAAATCATTGAAAAGGATAACATAGCACGTCATAAAATGAAACTTTTTCTCTTTAAGTTAAGGAACTGCTCATTTACTCACCAAATACCCCCAAGATTTCTCCTTCAAACATCATCGGTCTCTTAGTCTCTGGATCGGTACCTTGAATCGAGCACGTATCTCCTTCTTTGACGTTGAAATGATCTTTCATCACCACCTTTGTAGACAACTTCACTTCGACTCCCCACTTTCCCCACTCAACTACAACATATTTTGCCATGCTTTCATGAAGATGTAAAAACACGTAAAAATCTGCAAAAAACGTTCGTGTTGAAAACGAGATGATCATGTATCACTGGATGTGTCAGAGCAGTATGCTTCAACCGTGTTTAATCTTCTCCTTGAGATGCACCTCAAACCAACGCCGCCTTTTAGGGATTGGCTGTTAACAAAACGTGTGAACTTTTTTGTTCGTCGAGCAGTTTTTAATTTATGAATAGCCAACACCAATTCTTTGGGATTGGCTAAAGAGTGTGAAATTTGCTGTTCGTAATGAGCAAATTATAGAAATATGGTCGTAAGCAGGGTTGTCTTGAAAACAAAGACCCCCCTATTTTTTATATGTATATATATATATTTTTATGGGAGATACCCTGGGTACCAGAGGTTTTACTGGCTTTTGACGCTACATATATTGTTCA